ATTTATGCCATTTATGATGCATATTTATTATTATTTTTTATTACCACTGTGTAATAAGTAATTTTCCATCCAGGAATGGAACTTTTCCTGGATCTCTTACTTGATTAGTAAACCCATCAAATTTACTGCTCACAGACAAAAGTTTTTACAAAAAGGGTTTTATTAGGGTCTTTTTTGTAAGGGGTGTACCCCAGGATTTTGGTATCTGGATAAGAATACAAGAGGTTTGTTAATATATTTTCCCAAAATTTTACAAAAATCTTTGTCTACAGATTTATACTGCACCTGGATGGATCTTTGTCAGTTGCTAACCTAAACTCTACTTTGTTGTTAACTAATAATAAAGAAGAGAAAATTAAATTCTAAAATTATGCTCAACTTTAAATTATGTCTGAAAAGGTGCTCCAATGTATTATACTGAGATTATACCCCCTCAAGGTTAAAATGTTGAGTTCAAAAGTGTACCAACTTTATTCAGTAGTGTTATTTTATTATTTTACATAGCTTCCTTCAGTTTTGGGGGGGAAATACTGCCTTTATAGAAATTACTCTTTAAATTAGCTCATTAAATATCTGGCTTTAGATCATCCATTTTCTTTTCTTTCTCTGCTGATATATAAGAAACCAATATGTAATGTTCCTCTGGATGCCTGTATCATACTGTTAGCGAGAATTTAAAATACTGCAGTATCTTTAATACATAATGTTGTTTCTTGCAGGGAATGTTTGAGAGCACTGTCTAGTCACATGTATTGTGAATGCATCGAATGGTGTTTCATGACTTTGCACCAACTATTTGATTTCTTTTTAGAATCATAAGGGACAGGCAAATATGAATCTCATGCATAAATGACATTAAGATAACTGAAACTTCACCTGAATCATAGCTGCTTTTGAAAACTACACTAAACATCTGTTTGTATTTTTAGTGACTTACAAATTTTGCCTAAGTATCTTTAAAGGTTGAGCCTATGCTTAGACTGTGGAGTAAATCAGGGATGGTGCAAAAAATCATCATGAGAACTACTGTACATCTTTTTGCAGGCACAGGTTTGATAAGCTGAGCTGAGTACTTTCAAACTCTATTACTTTGAGAGAGAGAGAGTCAACTCTTCATGTGCTATGTAGAAAATCACACATAGAGCCTAAAGCAAACAGAAGAGGTCAAGGGTCAGAAAAAGGACTCTTCCCAGTAGTCAAGAAGAGCTAATTAAAGAAAAAGATTTCCTTTATTCTTTTCCAAGTAAGTCTTACATGTTTTGAAGAGTCATGGGTTGAACTAAACAGCATTGAGTATTGAGCTAAATAACACTGAAACCGGCACACGTCAGTCCCAGCTTGCCATTCAAGACTGACTGAATCAACAGCAAATTGTCTTCTGGTCTCCTGTTGGGATAGGAGGCAATACTATGCTTCGTGCGCAAGAGGTTTCCCAGGGTTACATAACAGAGGCAGAGGGTTAAGTATTGGGATTAGCAGGGGGCTATTAGCATAATAAAAAACACAAACACAAGAGAAGCAGGGTGGGAAACAACCAGGTGATTTCAGGGCAGCCATGGGAACTCCTTCTTTCTTCCCTTGTCTTCCCTCTCTTCAGCAAAACTGGAAGACCAACTGTTTCACCTAAGTCTGTACTGAAAAGCAGCATCAAACTGTGGAAAGGCAATGGCTCTTGCTGCATTCCTTCACATTTAGGGAAACAGAATAATTTTCGTAAGTAAAAAAAGGTTTCAATCAAACTCGTCATTGAAATAAACTCAGTAGTGGTCTCTCTTCTTAATTTGAAGAAAGAGCAAGTTTGGATAAAATTCAGTTATTTCAAGTGTTATTTTCAGCCCCTGTATCTTCCACAGATAAGAAATTCATTTTAAGGAAAGAGATGTGGAATTAGGCTTTACACTGCCCCAGCAGGTAAATCTGCCTATTGCACATAAGGAATGTTAATATCATTACCAACCTAGAAAAAAGGAATTAATAGAGTCATAGGTATTGAGTGTATGAGTACTAGGCCATTGTTGATTGCAGTAGGAGCAGTGCTAGAGCAAGGCAGAAAATCATACCTACCATTTCAAACTCAAAGAATCACTCTGGGAAGAGAAGCAATGAATGAACTGTACTGCGCAAGATAAAAAAAGGAAAGGAAACTAGATGGGATATATTGAAAGACTTTCTTTAATCATACTGTTAAAGAACTAAAACCTGGTTATGATCACAGCACGGCATGGATCAAGAATGGCTGCATTGTTACTACAGCGTTTCAAATTTTTCTAAAGCAAAACTGTCCCCTGAGCATTTTATCTTCTGTGGCCAAGGAAAAAAAAAACTGTGGTTTGATATATTATGTAGGCAGGGATGGCTGGTGGCTATCCAGTTGTAAATATTTTTGCAAGGAATGTTGTTTGCTACTCAAGATACAGTGAGCTGACTAACTTTTGCTTTTACTGATCATATTTAGAAATCTGAGGGGGTTTTAAACAACTGTTTTATTTATACATATTACATATTCTCAGAACTATCCCAGGTGGCAATACTTACCCTTCAAGAATCTAACTATAAGTTTCTTTCTCTTAAAATCACATTTTAGATTAGGAGACAAAGTGAGAATAGAAAAGAGATTTCCAATCTCTTTCTATTAAAAACCCAGTCATTTTTTGCAAGTACCTCTGCCAGTTCAATGAACACTAGCACAATACACTATCAAGTACAATCAATGATATTTGCTGACATGAGCATTTTAATTATGCATTAGAGAGCTGTAGTCAATTTTGGAGGATCTTTACACTTGGATCCTCAATTCATAATTATTTCAACAGTTCCATATGCCACAGCTTGATCAATTGAAGGGCACAGGATGCCTTGATGTATACATCACAATGATACAATGTCTGTAATTAAAATGTAGTGCACAGCAATCTTCCTCACCACTATTTGCAATATAGTTTTAATCAGTGGAAGCTATGTTCTTAGTGATAATGGCAGGCCAGGCCATCATTCCCTTCCAAGGAAGGGCTGACCATACACAAGTTTCAGTGGACTCCAGAAAAGCTACGCCTGCACTGAACTAATTTCCGTATTAGCACAGAACTAAGATTCCCACAGAGGGACCCTGCGATCGCAGTGTGTTGCGCAGCCACACACACACAACGGGTTTTTCTGTCTTGGCCCTGTTCGGCTCCTGGTTGCCAAATGGGCGTCACACAGAGCGCTGCAGAGCTTCGGCTGCCTAACCTGCCGGTCCCTCCGCAGCAAAGAGAAAGGTTGCTGTTACGCAGGGCAGTACTGGCTACGTGTTTAACGTTAAAAGGGGCTGATGCAGGCGAGGTAATCTGCCACTCCAATCACCCCTCACAAGAGCTGTGCAAGGCTCTGGAGCATAAATGTGAGTTTGCTGGTTTGAATTTGAGCTGGCAGCAGCACAGCAGTGACAGAGCTCTGACTGACAGAGAAAGGTCAAGTGTGCTGGGCAGGTCTAGAAGGTGTCAGCTCAGGGGTGGTATTTAATGATACCATCAGTAAATGGGACCAGATGAGGTGGCCTGAGGACACTCTGTAGGAGGTAAAGGAGAATGAATCTCAGAGCTCTAATGGAAACTGAAAGTAGGTAGATTGTAAGAAGAAGTGCTGTTTTCATTATGAGAATAGAAAGCAAGCTAACAGGGTACATAATACAATCTTGGATAAAAGAGAAGGGATTGACAAATCCCTTTAGAAAGATTTCAGAAAGAGACTAAGGTTATGAGGAGTGAGAAGTATTGCCAACATTATACTACTATCCTCATGCATACTGGCACAATTTCTTAGGGGAAAAAATCAGATCTGTGTAAGAGAGAATGAAAACTTTATAATACAGTACAGCTCTTCCAGTGGCCCAAATACATTACTATTTATATGGTTAAAAAAAAAAATCTTGGCATTGCCCTTCCTCCATCATGACAAACCTCAAATAGGCCAGCATACTGCACATCACATCCCTGATATCATATAAAAGTTTACTAACAACATTTAGCTTGTTTAATCATTTAACTCATTAATAGAGTTAGTGTAAACTTCATTGTCTTGCACTGGAACTAGGATTTTGCAAAAGAAGTTGTTTCCCATACAGTATAGGTGAGCCCTACAATTAGAATATTCTCCTGGAAGATAGAAGATGTGGTAAAAAAAGGAGGTAATTCAGCTCATCTCCCTCATATTCTGGGCAAAAGTTCTAATTACCAAGCTGTTTTGGGAGACAAAGACCACCTTTGGGAAGCCACAAGTTGGAAGAAAAAGCTTCGAAAGAAATCACTGTTCAGGATACAACTCTGGGTTACAAATCCTAAGTGAAGAGCATCTGTAGTACTGAATAAGGTGCAGAAACCTCAGGGAAGAGCAGAACTAAAGATATATCCTCATTGTCTGTGCTTTTCGTCTCCCTTTTTGGTAGATCTAACTCTTCAAATTTTGTTGTTAGCACTTTTTTTTTTTTTTTTTTTTTTTAAGAAGTAGGTTAAATGATGCAGCACTGTATATTGAATACGCATGAAGTGCTTTTAGAAGCCCTTTTCAATCTAAACACAAAATAAAACTGTTTTTTTTCCTTGTTGAATTACATTGCTATGTAACATCAACATAAGAATCCAGCTGAACAAAACAGAAAGAAACTCTGTATTATTTGTTAAATTGACTCTTCAAAGTGTCAAAATTACAGAGATACCAGATAACCTGTTAAATCTAGGAGGTCCCACGTCCTAATTTTCACCCTCAAAATTGGTCCAGAACTCATTTACCAAAAGAGGGATATTGAACTCTTTCTTACTTCCAGCACAGGCATAAACATTTTGTTTGCTTGTTCCACAGAAACACTGATGAAAGTTAACAATTTCACATACTTTGCAAGTCTGTTCTTAGAATTGTTAACATGAAAAAGAGAAACATATAACATACTGCAAGGAAAATGAAACAATTCCCAAAATATTGTGAGACAGGGGGTTTTTGTCCTTGGAAAAAAAATGTTACTTTACCCTTTTCATAGAGCTTTTATCTTCTGTCCTTTCAGTTCACTGATGTCCTGATAAGGAAGATCTGTAGCGGGAGATAAAAACAAAATGCATGGTTGTTAATTTGACTCAGCTGATCTTTTGTCCTATAACCAATATAGTATACAAAACATATTGTATAAAAATAGCATTCTATATTGCATTCAGAAGATATTTGATGGACACCAATGACAAATATAGAATCTCTTACGTTTACCTTACCCTCAGCAAAATATAAATTACATACCTAACCTGACGGTTACTGTCTTGGACAGTCAAAAAAAAAAGCATGACTATTATTTTTAGCTAAAGACAGTCAGCACATAGAAAGTCAGTATTAATGAAGAAGGGCATAATCCACAATTTTGGTGTAAAGCTACAGACACAAATCCCGCTGATAGCACCAGTTTGAACGAGGCAATTTCAACCTTGCTTATCCTATGTAAAAACTCTCTTATTTCTCCAGAAAAGATCAAGCTTACTTTAAGTTAATTGACAGGTCACTACTGAAAAATAGCACACAAAAATAAATTGAAAGAAAAGTGCTTCCTTCTTCATGCAAATACTGTTTTCTTTCTGTCATTAAAAAAAAAAGGGCCACTTAGGATTTGATAGTGACTGAAAAGGAATGTGTTTCCTGTTATGTATGGAGAAAAAATCCCACCTATTCTCTTTTTCTATTCCTTTCCCATACCCCAACATCTTCCTTGGAACTTCTTGTCACTAACTGTAGGTTGCTTTCAAATTCTTCATACTCTTTGATTCCTCAGAAAATTATTGTGAAGGAAAAAGGAATGACAATCAATCAGCACCTACTAAATCAAGTTTAAATTTCCCATCTCAGCCTGCAAGAATATCAAAGGTTCATTTCTATTTCTTGTCCTGTTGTCTTCTATCACACTCTGGCATTGTCCCTTTGGCTTTCTCAATCTACCATTTCTTTTTCACATTCTGTCTTCATTCTATTTCTCCACCCTGCTCTTAGGGTGGCACAAGCTCCTGATCCCCATTACACAGACTCATCACCCTCCTTCATGAAAAATTGCTCCCAATAGCGACTCTCCTGGAGAGTAATTGTTTGCTCTGCAACCTGCCACTGACTTTTGTCTGCACACACAGAAAGTCACTGACATCTCCTGCACCTTTCTAAGTAATTTTGTCTTTTAGCCTGGAAGCTTCTCAAAGTAGATGCTTCTGTGTGTGTTTCATTTATTACTAACCTGCTCATACTTAAATTACTAATTATCTTGATGTCTTTTATTCCCATATGCTGCAATGACTACAGGTACGAGGATTGGCTGGAGGGAAGTAAAACACAAACGTGTCTTATAAAAAAGTTAGTTACCAGACAAAATTAGGATTTCTAGATTTAGCGCTTTGCTTTGTTTTATGCATGTAGACAACAGTAATCACCAAATAGCACTAAATATATATATAATGAACATATACATACATTCTATTTATAGACAAATACACACACAAATATATATACACTAGGGTACATGGGTAAGAGGTATTCAGGTAAACTGATTGTTTGATTATTATTTCATAAATGCATAAGAAAAGCAGAGACTGTAATAGCTAGACCCAATTTCCAAAGATAATATAGAAATTCTGCAGACTAGTTCTGTAGTTATAGAGGCTGCTCACTCTCTTCTAAGAAGCCCTTTCAAGACCTGCTCGGAAAAGAGTTAAGCATTTCCCACTAAAAAAACTTGCACTGATGGCACATCATTTTCTGACATAACTAATTTGATGAATACCAAGCAAACTTTTTAAAGGAGAAATTTCAAAATGCAAATGCTTTTTCACAATGAAATATGATTAATAAAGTCATTATGAAATAAGTTTAGAAATGAAAAGCAGTCCTAAATACACAAAATAAGGATGTTAAAATCACAAAAGAAATATTTTAATTTGTCAAAACATTTCAAATGACTTTAAAAATAGGTTTTAGAGGTTTTTTTTCATGAGCTATTCCAAAATAACATCCATCATGTGTTTTCCTTTTGCAAATGGACTTACTCTCCCTTACAAAGCTATACACGTCTTGCCACACACTGGGTTCCTCTTGTTTTGCAGATAATAGTTTACATTAGAGAAAACCAAACACAGTGCAAAACAGAGCAGATAACAATCACTGATAAATATTACCCAATAATACCTGTGCCCCGGAACTTAACAAGCAATCATCATGCTATATTTGCACCTGACCAGCACAGTCCCACCCACGCTAAAAGCATCATAAGCAAGAACAACTTGTAGGGAGTTTGAGCAAATCCCAATGGAAAGTATATAGTACTAGGGGGAAAGCCTGGCAGAAAATCATTACCACTATCATTGCTACCACCTGCTGCACTGGAGAGAGCACCCTGAGGAGGATGCTCATGTGGGAGTCCACTGCTGCTCTTCCCAGCCAGCCATTGCAGAGAGTTTTCCTTTCTCTTCTCTCTCTCCTTCCCCTTTGTTTTTATTCTTCTCCAAAAGTAACTTTCACTGTTCCAACCTATGCCATCAGCTATGGATCCCACTATTAAATCTCTTCACATATGAATCTGGCTCAACATGCTTTGTACAACACTGTTATTGACAGATAGATACTATAGTCTTTACTTGGTCCAGGCTTTTTATTTTGAGTGCCTTTTATCGGCCTAATCTGAAATAAGACAATAACAATGGCAATGTGTCATTGCTTTACCTGTCTGCACAGAAGTTGAATATAAACTCAAACATTTTCAATGTGGCTTCTCAGCACTGGGAGGCTTCTTTTAGCGGCTCCCTGACACCTGCTAGCTTCAATGACAGAATCATTTTGATACGTTTCTGGTTTCCTTATGATAACAGAACAAGCTGAGCCTACCCTAAGGCACAAGCCTGCCTTTGAAGCAACGATCCGTGCTGGAGTCCATACAAACATACCTACACACCCACATTCCAGTATGTTGCTGTTTTCTATTATAAAAGCAAGATATAATAAAATCAATCCCCTTTTCCCTAATAAGGCCTACTCTATACAGCATTAAACAATATTTAACGATGAGTTAACTTGCCAGAAAATTCAATTTTAGGATGAGGAGAGGGGTCTTTTTTTCCTTTCATTGTTTAGCATTGTTAAGTTGCACGTCATTATTGTAACATCTTTGGCCTGTGCATCATGTTGCACGCCTAAAAATCTCTAGTAAGTTAACAGTAAATATATCTTGCAACTGCTGAGTTGATCTGATATTCTAATAATACAATAAGCTTTGGATTTCTTCTCATGCCAAATCTTTTTCTAAACCATCTAAGTTAAATCCACTACATGAGGAAAATAAAGAAGCAGGTCAAGATATTAGGAAGCAGACAAGACTTGCCATTATATTCAGTAGAGGCATGCTGGTTATCATGCCTTCTTTGTCTGATTTTACTGACACTTCAGTCTGCTACCAATACCCTGATACGCTCTAGCTTTCATAAACATCCCCAGACCTTTACATCACCTGTTGGTGTGTAATATTGCTAGACTCTTATGACTGTACCAGTTGTTTATTCATTTTTTCTTCTTACTATATCAGGGTGAGAAAGGAACTCAGAGAAGTCAGATTTAAAACACATCCTCTTGAAAGAAAAAAACATAGACAGAAACTGCATGCTAGCTTGACAAGAAACCCAGTGTACCTTAGTATTTTCTATGGTTCAGTATAAATTCATTATTCCAATTTGGCTAGATCAGGATTAGAGACGTGTCCCTTCTTTAACAGTATCAGACTTCCATAAGGGGATGCAAATTTTTACATAAAATGTTCATGAACATTTATATGTCTTTTTACTCTCTTTATATTTCCTTGCATTTATTTGCTCACTCTGCTTTTACATTAGCCTTGCTAATTTCTGCACCTTACCCTTCCTTCACTTAGAATTTTCATCCATTTAAAGATTTTGTAACCTCTTGTATGGATTTCTGAAGAAACAGTGATGTAAGTTTTGATGCCATCTACTTCTTAGAATAAAAAAATCCATTAAGTATGAAAGCACGAGGAGACAAAGGGCAGACAAAAATATAAAAAGGTTAGTTTAGAGAATTTCAAGGAAAGCCTGCAGTGTGAAAATGGCAGTGGCCTTTTCATAAAAGGTATTCTATCTATTCCATCACTGCCTTCGTTTCTAACCTTTGAAATGTCTGTTGCAAGCTTGTCATTTCTCTGAGACTTTGTTCATACATGTGTATGTAGTAAAGAAATTTTATTCCTGCATCAAAACATCATAAATTAGGAACAAACAAATAAGCATTTGCTGAATTACTAGTTGCAATTTCAGTCTCTACTTCTGTTTTGTTATTTAAAAGCAAAAGTAGCTTGTGCATTAACCGTTCAACGCATCAGTCAATGCATACTGATGAACAAGTAAGATACTGGAAATGTGGATTGGCTCACAAACTATTTTTGCTTTTAAATTACAAAACAGAAAGAAACCTGCCTGGCAGCTGAATAACTAGCAGTCATAAAACGTTTGTGATTCACACATGTTGTGATTCCCAGACTTCACGCTGATAACTAACTCCATGCAAGTAACAACAATACAAACCAAGAAAGCAGAAAAATAGTGAATGACAGGTTTATTTTGTCATCATTCGGCTTGTTCAGTGTCAAAGATTGCTTATAGGCAGATTCTGAGCAGGTAGAGCGGTCTACATTATTATCCGCAGTAGTCTTTCACATGTCAGACTAATAGCAAAACTACATTGCAAAATTTCAAACAACTACTATGATGATTGTTTTCATTTTCAAGGTCATTTAATTCCTTGTGTATCTACTTCAAAAAGTCAAACACCTTTAAATTTTGTAAGCACTGAAAATTTAAGCACAAAGCAAGTGCCATTAATAAACCTCCCTGATAAGGAAGCAGCTCCTGAGAAAAGTAGCCGCTTCTCCTGAGCCAGAAGAACTTCTTACTTTGCTTTTTCTTTCTACATGATGAAAGCTTTAAACTAATCTTTTCCTTGAATAAAATCTATGCTCACATTTACTACTACTGCTAATACTACTGGACCCAATTTCTAACAAAACTAGTAAGAATACAACTTCTGAAAAAATGTGTATATATGCAGACTCTGTATCAGTGTTTCAATACAGAATATAAAAATGGATAGATATATAAAAACAAATAAGTAATATTCTTGTAACTTTGCTTTGTATTAGAAAACTGTTTTTTTGGCCACTAAGAATGCAATTGTGAAGTAAAAATGATATCTACACAGTCATAAGAGTTTCCATAAGAGTTCCTGGGGGGGGAAAAAAACCCAGATCTTTTCCTTTGAAGAAAGTGAAAGATTCTGTTACCTATTGTAGTTTTTGGATCAACTCCTGTGAATTTGAATGGCCCGCTTCTTTGCCTGGAAGAACACAGCCTCTGAATCTCAGGCAAAAATCATTTGATTTCAGTACTGCAGTGAAGCTAGATAGGCAGCAATGTCACTATGTAGGAGCAATGCTCTTTTTCTTCAGGACACTGTAATTTAAGAGTTGAGCCACCATAAAAATCAGACATAAAACATGCTACGGAATGCCACCTAATTTTTGTTATGTTAAGGTTTGTGATTTTACATACTGCTTACTCATTATTTCCAGTATGTTTTTAACTACATCAGACTCGCTCAGTCAGGAATGGTTCCAGCTTACTGATACGATAGCCATAAAAATTCATTAAGAAATAAATCAGAATATCTATGTGCAGCATCTTTAAGATTCATTAGGATGATCAGATGTTAAAATATATGGGTAACCCTTTAAAGTGAAAAATCTTAGTGTTAGTAAGATTTCTAAAGATTTCTAAAGATCTCTAAAGTCTGAGGAAATTTTTAGTAGTCAGCTGATAAAATGCATTTCCCTACCATTTCCTCCCAAGCTTGACAGGCAAAGGTTGACACTCTAAATCCTACAATTAAGCCTTAAGAGTATTCCAAACAAAATAAAATTCTTAGGCCATGAACAGATTTACTTGTCCATCTGTAATTGTGTTGGTAAAAAATTGTGTTGGTCACCAGCTACTATTTGGATATTGCTACTACACACAACTCCAGAGACAGGATCCTGCGAGAGGTCCAAAATTTCAGGAAAATCTAACTAGTTTAACTTCAAACTACTTTCACCAGGGTTTAATGGATCTGTATGCAATTAATTTCATATGATCCTTTCCTCCAAAGGACCTTTGGAACAGTAACCTCTGGCATATAGATCCACCCTGTATTCTTGGGGGACAGGTTAGGCCTTAAGATGTTAGACAAGTAGGGATGAACTAAGAATAAATAGATACAAGTTTTTTAATCAGCACAAGTACCAGAGCTATGAACAACATGGGCCTAATTTTGACAGTAGTTATGCTAAGCTAGGCTAACAGGAATAACCTATTCTGTTAAAAGCACTGGAAATAAGATACATTGGAGCATTCCACCAGCTTTCATTTTTATTTTGTTTAACTGTTCAGCCAAGCACTCCATCAGTTATAAAACTCACATTCATAGACAAAGAGAAAGAAAGTAATAATTTACAAAACAAAGAGGATACTGACAGGCAGACATCCCATCAACTCTACTGTGTTTATCTGCATACAAGTTCTCAGTTACTTCATTACTGAAAGCTATACATTATAACCTTGGGAGATTTTCTACTATTGATAATACTTGACAAGAACATTCCTAAAAAGAAGCACCTAAGTAATTAAATAAGGAACACCTTAGTCACCCATCAGATCCCAGACCACATGCTGAAATGAATGACTGGTTTAGCAGCCTGATAGAGTTTGCAAAGCCCTTTCCATACCTAAACTTAAGTTCCTCTGAAAGACACAGATCTACCAGTCACTTTGCTTGTGGGAAATCTTCAGATTTCATATATGGATTGCTTAAATAATTTTTTCTAATTTTGTTTTCATTTCCCTAATCTCTCTACTTGTTTTATTTATTGATAAAGTTTAAAAGAACAGGAATTACCTTTAAGCACTTGATAACAGTCTATTCACATAGGAATTTCTCAGAAAATGTCATATAATGAGATCAGTCCATTCTTAAAAGTCTAATTAATGCCATCAGAAAGAAATGACCTAAGGGTAGGAAGAGCAGTTAATGGATATTTCTTGTCAGAAGTTGTGAAACATGTTTTAGCAATGGAATTAAACATATCCACTGACTCTTCTGTGTCATATGAACGTTCATTATCTGCCAGTTCAGTCTATGAGAAAGAGAAATATTTCCCCACTGCCTGTAGTTACGAAGCTGCTATACATGTGGTGACACATGATCAGAAGCCCCTCTAAATTAGAGCAGGCCAGCTTTAGGTACCTCTGAAACTTGTAGCTAGCCTGTTTTGCTCACTCCGGTCTCTCCCTTTTGCCTTCCTAATAAATCCTTCACAGTTTCTTGTTGCCCCAGCAAGGAAAACTCAATGAAGAGCTCTTCTTGCTGCCAACTCAAAGGGCTGTGCCTCAGCAGCCCACCACAGGTGCTCAGCACACTCTGCCAGGAGCCTCCATCGTGGTTTATTCCTCTGACTAACGAAGGCACTAATCCATGCCATACCCATGGCACCTCTTACCCTGAGTACCGCAGAGGGCTAGAGCAAAAAGCTGATTCTGCTACTAGCACATTTCAAAAGAAAAGAACTACTCGGGGGCTACTTCCAAAAAAGTCTTTGGGTCTGTACATCCTAAGCAGACAGAGGTCCTCACTAAAACCTCTGCTTAAGCTCCAGAGTGAGTTTTAGATGATATAGAAATAATTGTATTGTCATACTGGCTGCTCCTCTTCAGCTTTCAGGGTTTGAACTCTCATTCAGAGGTGCTTTGCTCTACTTACGCGGTGCGTGGGATGCCAGGACACCTGACTCTGGGAAACACAGCCCTAAAAGCTTCCTGTCCTAGCAGCTGTGCTATCAGTAGTGTTTCCACCACTTGATTCAAAGAGCATTTAGTGGTTGCCAACAGCAGCAGGACTGCAGTCAGAAGTGGTGGAATGCTGAGACTCTCAAAAAGTAGCATGGGGAAATGAAGCGGGAGAACTTGTCAAGGACCGCCTGGGGCTCGCGGCCCCTCCTGCTCTGCAGAGTGAGCTACGAGAATGCTGGAGGCCAAATGCACGCACCCAGTGCAGCATGGCTAAGCAGCACTAAGTACTGTGCAGTTTATGAGCCTTGAGGCTGTCAAGACAATTTTGGATAAATTTGCTCTTTTATAAAGCAAAGGCAGAAGCAGAAACTTCACTAAATGGAAACATTATAGTGATGATAATTCAAGTATTTAAATAATAAGCTGGGTCTCATGAGGAAACTTCATGTTTAATTTTATATATGATGTGGAGAGTAAATTTATTCCTGGGCATCTATTAATCTTTCTACTAGATTTGTTAATATTTTTGCAATGCCCAGAGGACAATGATAAATTATTGCAATTAAGATTTGGGATTTTATTTTATGTCTGCACTATCTCACTTGCTTTTGATGACCAACTTTTAAATTTGAAGTGAAAGCAGCAAATAGGTAATGTCACAGCACAGCCAAAAAACCTGTATAATTACATACTGCTCTTAATGTCATTTGCAGGCTGTGAATTCACTATGCCTGACTTCTGTTGCCTGTTACTTACAGGGTCAGCCTCTCTTTGGGGATAGCCCAAAGCCGCTTACGGGCATACCAGAGAGTCCTGAAACTTTAGCACACTGATCCACCACTACTCGCTGGGAATCACTGGCATCTGAGGAACACTAACTAACTCCCAGCAGTCCAGGGCAAGCTGATGTTCCATACTGGCTCCACTTGTTCCTCCTGACTGTGCTTCTCATCTCCTCCAGGGACTAGCCCTGCAATATAGCCAGGAACACTTGTACCTTTGGTCTCCGGTTGATTAAAAGGTAGCATGGCAGAGCTGCCTGTCCAGGCCCCTGAATCCAAACCTTTTAATCAGTACCTTATATATTGTAATGTGCATTTTCTTACAGTTTTTAGACTCTGTTAGCACTCTGGCACAGGCCTATTACAATCTGATTTATACATTCACTTCCATACAATTCTCAGGTATCACTAACACTTCAGAGATTGTGTCCCAGAATTTTGTGAAAGTCTGCTCATCTGCTTATGCTTTGATTGTCCTCTGATAGACTACGGACTGCCGTTTTCTCAGGCCATTATCAGTTGATCAGCCGTGGTCTGTTTACCAGCTCCTGCTAATAGTTTGACAAATATAAAAATCAGACTTTGTCTTCAAGCGTGCATTGTACTGTTGTTTCCATTAAAATTTTTGTTTCTTATTTACTTGTAGTATATTGGAAAAAGTTACAATGAATGCAAACTTGTTTTTATTTTACCTGTTCTAACCCAAATGCAAAAGTTCTCCAAGTCTGGCTCTTGCTGCTAGGCCACCTCCTGAAAGAGCTCAAGCTTGCTTTACCTGCAAATAAAAATCAAAATACACCTTCTACCAATTTCCCTGTTTTGCATGTCTTTTTTTCAACTCATTTGGTTTTGTATTGCATCTCCTTTACCATTCCAAGCAGTAGAGAAATACCAGCAAAGAACATATATCATTGTGAATTACAAACATCCACAAGCAATACTACACTTCAAAAACAGTTGAAGGTAAGAATAATCCATGACATATCCAGAACACATTATTTGTGATCCACTTTCTTTGCAATACACTATGTTTTGTTCAAGTACAGTAATGTCTGTTGGCTGATATATCACACTCCTAAGCTACAAACAATTTTACAATCCAGGTTGTATTAAACTTTAAAAAAAAAAAAGCAAATTGGTCTTGCTCAAGGTTCATTACAACAAAAACCTTCCTGTCTTGACAGTTATAAACAAAAACTCTCTCCTCATCTCATCTCGGTGAACTCTTAATATATATGGGGTCAAAGTCCAGAGCACCTATTGCTGGTATTGTGATGTGAACATTACTGACACATTTACAGAGTGAGACCAAAAAATGACTTTTAGAAAAGGCTGACAATGTACACGCCGAAAAAGCAAGCCTGGGCACAAAATTATATGAAAATGTGTTTTTTTTTCTTCAGATTCGGAAGTGCTTCTTCTCAGATTCTTCTCAGATTGCTCGCTAACAGTTCTTGAAAGACAGTATGACTAATCTTACACAAAAAAAAATCAATCTAAAACATGCACATCAGGTATTAGCAGGCAGCCAAGAACAAAGTGGCATAAATGGGCAAAGTTCATGAGCGTTGTACATATGCTATGACCTTTTGAAGATAAAATTTAATAAATGAGTAATTTTATACTAAATAATACACGGGCCAGGGTATGGATTAGTGTTTTTGATAGTTTCTGGTATATGCATGCTTATGTGTGTGTGTGTATACATACAGGTGTTCGCTGCTATTTTAGTTTTGCCAGTATAGGCAATGTATCTAGAGAGCCTATTATAACTGGGTTAAGTGCTTTTGCCTCCCTAAATGTCATGATTTGATATTTAATAAATGCCAAGAAGTCTCATCGGATGCCAAGTGTGCTGCTAGCTGACTTTTGCACTGGCTCTTTAACACATAACCCTTACTCTGTGGTAACTCTATCCTTTTCTAACCAATATGTCATCTTCTGTTGATAAATTAAGAGAAGAGTTGTAAAACATGAAAAATGATCGACATGTCTAGACCTCTCCATTACTAAAAAAGGGGTTACTACTTCACTAAAAAATGGTCTACTGACCAAGAAAGCTTAAATACTTGTCTAAATCAGACACTGGAAAAAGAACTATCCTGAGATGGAACTCTTACAACTAAGTTAGGACTTAATTCACAATGATATGGGACTTGCATCTGATTAAAATTTCTGCACTGAACACTGCTGAAGCAGAGGACCTAAAGAACTAACTAAACCTTATCCTTTAATAGTCTTTTATTTGAATAAAAATGCAGTAGGGGACCTCAGATATATCCTTGTATGAGTTACAAGGAGTTTTACAACTATCTGTTGTCTCTCATGGTTCCCATACTTCCATTTAATTTTGATATAACAGGTTTCGTGTGCTCTAAAAGGGAAACCACAGTGTGAAGCATCAGATCCCTTATCTATCTTATGAAAGATAACAAAACAAACAGAAAACCAAAGCTCCAGTACAGGGGATTTTACAAGGGTGGTTATTTAAATGTTAGAATTTTATTCTAATTTTATTCATAAACTGGGAGCCTTGGTCTTGTCTAGCAGAATACTAAATTCTCAGAGATGGGCCAGATTGCTCACAGAAAGATTATAGGTATATACAGTTCGGAGGAACATCTTTCTAATGCTCTAGGTTAATGGTTCATACCAGTAATAGGCTGCAAAATAGGTAACTGGCTGGCAGCTATCTGTGCAACCACACCAGGTATCATTAACTTTTAAAGTTCATCCATTCATGTGGTTATGTCATTAGCTACAAACATTGCTAAAGGTTGGCAAGTATCCTTTTTTTCAAGATCAGGAAACAATTGCATAGTCTTCACAATTTTTAAATTATTGCTCCTCACAACAATAATGAAAGAACAAACCTGGGGAACATTAGATAAAGCTTTTTTATGTGTCGTAGGTTTTGATTTGGTTTATTGTATTAGGAAGTGAAAAGAAATACAACAACCTAGGAAATTAGAAAGAGATTGATTAACCAGAATCTATTTTTTTTATTACTGAGCAAGAAGCCAGTTTCATTTGCATCTTAGTTAGAAAAACGAATGTATTTGCCTAGAGTACTCCAAGGAAATCTCAGCTCATTCAAGGCAATTACATTTATATTTGCTTAAATTATGGGAGCATTAACAATGCTGCTTTACTTGCCAGTTTTGTAAAATAACATGTTATAGATGCTTCAGAGCTGATTGTTCTGTTTATTTGAAGGAAATAAGTATATTTTTATTTCACAAGAATGCACAAACACAGGAGATGTATCCTGTGCATGTTTTCTCAGACGTTTCTCAAGTTGCCTAGGTTACGTCTGGGCTGCTAGGATGACTGTTTTTTCCTTTTAATTGCTACTGTTATTACAGTAGAGAGAAGATTTCTGAAAACTCAAATCTTGGGCTGAAACCTGCAATAAGAGGGTTTGAGATTTTTTCCTATGTCTTCTCTGAGGATATTCTGAGTGTGCTCTTCTATGAAAGTTCATATTTACAGTTTGGTGAGGCAGTTTCCATTCTGACCACTTACAGATGTCAGATATTAATACAGATCAAATCCTGGAGATAGAATCAACTTAAAATGAATGGGAGTATCCACTCACTTGTATGTCCTATTTCACTATGAATTGCCAGTAACTGTGATTCATATTTTTCTGCGTAATATCATTGGGACAACTCTCCCTTCCTTGGCTACGGTCCTGCACTTCAGGGGAATTTTATTAGTATATATTAATCTCTTACATCTCTTCTGCATAGCTTAGCTGTAGCCATATCTCCTCATTTATATTTACTATCTGTTTTATTTAAATAAGGTGAAATATTGTGTTTATGATGTCCCCTTCTGGAATACTAATTGTTTCTAATATTTTAGACACTCAAATTTTTGAGGACCTAGTTTAAAATACCTTAGAAGAAAGGGCTTTCGTTTGCTTGCTTCTTCCTTATTTATAGGAGGATCCTATGCATTGAGCTGAGGCAACAAACATCCACATACCAAGGTGACCCTTCCTTCCAGGGAGGGAAAAAAAAATATCCCTGACAGGAAAAGGTCTGGAAAAAGTGGACGTTGTGTGATAAACTCAATGCCAGAGGGTCATTATTTACGATAATTTGAGCGCAAGTAGCAGAAGGGGATCTATGTATGTCACACTGTTATCCAAATTCTTCTTCATATTAATTTCTCCTATCAGCAGGGTTAAATGTTCCCACCTACACACCTATACTACTGCAACTTGTAATAACCTTTCTGTTATTCTCCCTTCAGATTGACATGTCTCATTTCTTTTTAAATTTTGTTTCACTCTACTAGTGAAATTAACGTTTATATAGCTGACTCAAATTTTTGATACATTCTTAAACTATACAGTCAATGGAAAACAAATCTAGGAGCATTATTTTATACCACTGTATTATAAAATAAATTTTAAACCACTGTTAGCCAACTACATTAAAAAGTTCATTTCAAATGAGTGTTCTTTTCTTTACTTTGCTTCAGGAAATACAAGTCTGCCTGCCTTCTCCCTGTCCTAGTGAAGATCAATTTATTTAGAAGTATATCCTGAAAATGAATAGACAGAGGCTATTTGGCAGATAGGAGGAGATCGAGTTTCTCAATTAACAATTCCATGTGGCAATTTTTTTTGCCAGCAGGTTCCCATCATACAGAATAAAGAACCTTTGTTTAAGCACACCCAGATTGATTACTTACATATAGTACAGAAAGGGAGCAGACTTGACTTTAAAGAGTTTCTGTTTATTCGAAGGAGACCCGGTCTCACTTCTTACCTAAAAAGTGTGGATGATTATGGAAAAGAGATGGTATACAACTACTAGGTTATGAAGAAAGATATACTGGAGGGCTGAAAAATAACTCTGCACTGATTTATGCTGATTCATTGTGAGAGTGTTAATTATATGAGTAGATAAAATTTGAAATTATGAGGAATTTGAGCAGAAGCTGCTTTTCAAAACGCTCTTCAACCCTTGCTCCTCCTTCCCCAGCGTTTTCTCTCTAACCTCTCTGCAGAAAGGCCAGCTGGTCTGCCACCTGCCAGTGGTAGTCATAATATTTCACTCCTTCTGTTTAAGCATTAAATACTACTTCTCATACTCCAAGATATGAATTCTGCTCCACAGAGTGTGCCCGAGCCCTCAATCTCCACATGGGAGAAGAGAGAAGAGGAATCTTCTCCCACATGGCACAATGTGCAGGACCACTATAAGAGGAATTCCATACAGTTTTTCCTTGCATCAAAGCTTTCTTCATGTTTTCCATGGAGAGGATCTACGTGAGTCAATATCTCCTTTTTCCTTCCCCTCATAGCAAATGATTGTCTTTTCTCAAGTTCAAAAGTAATGCAAGTTCCCCTAGGCAAGTTTCCATTTCTCCTGTGTTAGAAGCATCGCGATAGCATTCGTTGAAGTAACTTTGTAGTTCCTGGCACAGCAGTGAGAACAGACTTAGCAGTGACGGGGCAGAAGGGATGGTCGCAGAGGCAGCAGGCCGTAAGAAGGCAGCTGCCAGAGATGCATTTCCTGCTGTGCCACTGGTAGGCTGACAAGGAATGAATGATATGGACACAAGCTGTCAAGACGGGTGCAAATAGACAAGGTACTCATTAAATAAAGTAATGGTGATACTGATAGCACCCTGCAGTGAGTCATCATATAGATAAATGACCAGATATGGGGGCTGACAGATGGTGAATGACGGTTATATAATTGAAAAGTATGTTTGAAGC